TCTTGATGGGCCCGGCCCCCGGATCCTCGAGAGCTTAGCCGTCGTTCTGCAGCGTCGCGACTGGGAAAACCCCTCGTCGATGTCTATCACATCAAACTTAGGTGGTCCAAAAATATTGACTCTGAGAGAAACTATAGGTGTACCTATATTTTATCCCGGAGATGCATATTACTTCGATGGGACGTGTCCCATCGGTCTTTCTCGTCCGACATCAAAATACACCCACCCTCCTAATTACCTTCACTTGGCTCCGGGCCTTTGCCGGGCCTTCGCGGGCCCTGGCATAGTTTCTCTCAGTCAATATTTTTGGACCACCTAAGTTTGATATGATAGAACTCGACGAGTTCTACAAAATGCAACTATTTGGAAAACTATATTTTGTCTATGAACAAAGTTACAGGCCATCAAGTGGCTTTTCCCGGACCACCCTTTGTAAAACGGTGCCAATGTTTTCTGTGTCAAAAAATTTTATTCCTCATAAAATCTATACGTGTTCTCGTGAAACATCCTNNCAATATNTCAACGCAATACTTTGCTCCTCATCAAANCAAAACCCATTGAAGGTAGAAATATTAACACTTTAGACAGCAAATGGGGGGGGGGGGGATCAATCCACTCATGTGGGAGAAGTATCCCAACCGAGGGATAAAAACAACGAACGGCTGAAGAACATCCAGACGGCAGGGCATGGACAACATAGATTTGGATCGCGGGATATGGCCAAATGACAACCTGAACCCGCATGCAAGGTATACAAATAACTATACATTCCAGACGGAACCGAATACAGGCATGCCTTGGGGTCACTGTGACCGCCCACCCACCGCGAGACCCCCAGTTGGAGCCCCCGGGCCCCAGGTAAGCCGTGTTAACGAAGCACGAACCCCCCCCGGTGGAGGAAGATTCAAGATACAAGATCACCAAGATTCCCGACCCGCAAGCGGCGGTGTATGACGGCCCAGACTCGAAAAATGGCTAGAATACGCGAAAGCATAGCACAA